ACACACACACACACACACACACACACACACACACATACAAACACACATACACACACATACATACACACACACACACACAAACACATCCAAACACACATACACACATATACATACACACACACACACGCACACAAACACATCCAAACACACATACACACACATACATACACACACACACACAAACAAACACGTCCAAACACACATACACACACACATCCAACCACACAAACACACACACAAACACATCCAAGCACACATACACACACACATCCAACCACACACACACACAAACAAACACACACACAAACACGCATACCCCATCCTGGTCTGGTGCCGAGATGTTGAGCACTCTGTAGCCGACAGGTTCCTTTTCATGGAAGGTAGCGTTGTAGTTTCTTCGCACAAACACCGGCCCGTCTGGGTTTCGGGTCACGTCAACGGTCACTGTGACAGTGCCACTGGTCTGAGGTCTGGCACTGTCATACACGGTCACCACGATCTGACAAAGAGTCCGGAGAGTCATATTGGTATTCTAATATACAACAGAGCTTTGCCTCTGCAAAAAGTCAAGGCCAAAAAGAGAACCTCTATCCGTGAAACAAAACAAAAAATGAAAATGTAACCGTTAGCTAAAGCTCATACTATAAGCAGTTGCTCATCTTACCTCGAGTCTCCACTTTTTTCAAGCTCTACAACACTGATGATGATTTTTTTTAAATGTTCGTGACAAAGCCCATAGTGGGCGAAACGGGGAATGTATTACAAAACATTTAGGAAATCCTACCAAGTCTCATCCTTCCTTTTTTGGACAATATAAGGCTTCGTTTGTAGTACAGATAAAAGAATACGTAAAATGTGAGGTGTGCTGACAAAATGAGTAACTTCTCACAATCCACAGTTAGAGATGTTGGCCAAAAATAGAGACTCAAGGTCAAATTTGTAGATTTTCTATTGATGCCATATTCTAAAAGTGTAACATGCCTTTAATTATTTTAAACTTATAAATAGTAAAACCTTCCCTTATAAGCGTGATGTACCTATTTCCATAGGGCCTGAATCCAAAAAGTAACTCTTTTTGTCAGCACACTTCACAAATATTCTACTCATGCCTTACATCCTTTGCAGTACAAGTCAAAGAAATCGTTTAACATTCTACTTAAGCCTCGCATCTTTTGTAGTCCAAATAATTTTTTAAAACCTGTTAAATATTCTACCCATTCCTTGCATATGTTGTCTCGATTCAGACAGAAGCGAGTTCATATCACACCCGTACCTCGTATCTAGTGTCTGGGTTGAGACGTAGGCTATCCTGGAGACTGATCAACCCCGAGCTGTCCGGACTGACATTGGCGCGTCTCACCGTGAAGATCCGGGTGCTGTCGTAGCGTCCAACTATGTTGTAAGTGAGGTTTCCCTGTGTGGAGACCCAAAAATGTTTTAAAATGGAGCCAAGATTTTATTTAAACACGAAGAAAGAAGAATAAGAAAGTCATGGAGACATGAGATCAGCTAAACGCCAAAAGGTCATTCACAAAAAATATTCCAGACAACTCATGTGAATCCTAACCCTAACCACAACTTAAACCCTAACCCTAAACCCTATCCCAAGGGAGAATCAGAAAGTAAGTCAAAGATTAAGCCCAGTCCAGGTGAGGAAACACCCCTTGGTAGTGAAAGAGTTAACATTTTGAGCCCTGATCTTTCCCCTGTTGTTGCTGCTGTTGTTGTTTTGTTGTTGTTGTTGTTGTTGTTGTTGTTGTTGTTGTTGTTGTTGTTGTTGTTATTGTTGTTGTTGTTGCTGTTGTTGTTGTTGTTGTTGTCGATCCAGCAACAGCTAGGCCCTGCTTCATCCTCTGTTGTTGTTGTTGTTGATGTTGTTGTTGTTGTGTGCGTGTGTGTGTGCATGAGTGTGCATGTGTGCATGTGTGCGTATGTGTGTGCGCGTGCATGTGCATGTGAGCGTGCGTGTGGGCGTGCGTGTGAGCGTGCGTGTGAGCGTGCGTGTGAGCGTGCGTGTGAGCGTGTGCGTGTAATAAAAAGAGAATAAAAAATGTACCTGTCTGTCATTGTCTCTTCCGAACACGGTGAACGTTTGACCGGTGGCAAAAGCATCTTCTCTCAAAGACCAAATCTGGTTGACACTGGGGTCAAAGAACGGTGCCATATCTGCTTGCACGGAGAAGCGTACAGTTGTGGTGCAAACTTTGGGGAGAGGGAAGCCTTGGTCACTGGCTATCACACCAAACTGAAACATAACAAATGCATTAAGTGGTAAAGGTGATTTCAATTCCAGATTTTTAAAATTCAACAAATTTTCTCACCCAAAATTTACCCGATCAATAGTAAAACTTTCCCTACTGTTTGGAAATGATCTAAATCGTTTCTACAGAAATAACATCCTTTGTCATCCATACACTGTACCAAAATTGTCATGACCAAGGTACTATATAGTTCTTTCCCTTCCAACTTCTTTTGAAAAGGAACAAAAGCAATTGTATACTTAACACTTACTGTCCCCGTGGTTTTATGCACCCCGTTTAATTTAGCAAAATTTGATCATTTTTCGCATAATCTCTGATTATTTTCCTGTATCATTCTTAGTTAAAATTAACAGAATCACTTAATTTCAAATTTTTGGGCTCAGTTTGCATAATTTCATAATTTTTTTTGCATAAGACCGCGGCTTCAGCTTCAGTACCATCGGAGACTTAAGTCGCCAGGCCGTAGCATGCGCTCACTACCGCTGGCGACTTAAATCGCCGATGCGGCCAGGCACACTAAACATACTTAAACAACGAACGGACTCACTGCACTGAAGTAAATACAAAAGGAAGTCACTCTATATAACAGCTGAAAGGTTGATGAGCCTCTATGAATTTTTAAAGCATGTTTCTTGGGCTGTCAAGGATTCTTAAATTTTCGAAAAATTCTACCACGGCTTCAGCATTCTAAACTGGTGGGGTACTTCAGGGTGTTTCATTATATGAGCCTTCGTTTCATTATATGAGCTTTCATTTCATTATATGAGCCTTCGTTTCATTATATGAGCCTTTGTTTCATTATATGAGCTTTCATTTCATTATATGAGCCTTCGTTTCATTATATGAGCCTTCGTTTCATTATATGAGCCTTCGTTTCATTACATGAGCCTTCGTTTCATTATATGAGCCTTCGTTTCATTATATGAGCTTTCATTTCATTATATGAGCCTTTGTTTCATTATATGAGCCTTCGTTTCATTATATGAGCCTTCGTTTCATTTCATTATATGAGCCTTCGTTTCATTATATGAGCCTTCGTTTCATTATATGAGCCTTCGTTTCATTACATGAGCCTTCGTTTCATTATATGAGCCTTCGTTTCATTATATGAGCCTTCGTTTCATTATATGAGCCTTCGTTTCATTACATGAGCCTTCGTTTCATTATATGAGCCTTCGTTTCATTATATGAGCTTTCATTTCATTACATGAGCCTTCGTTTCATTATATGAGCCTTCGTTTCATTATATGAGCCTTTGTTTCATTACATGAGCCTTCGTTTCATTATATGAGCCTTCGTTTCATTACATGAGCCTTCGTTTCATTATATGAGCCTTCGTTTCATTATATGAGCCTTCGTTTCATTATATGAGCCTTCGTTTCATTACATGAGCCTTTATTTCATTATATGAGCCTTCGGTACTGCAAGTGTTACTTCCACTCACTGTGAAAATCTGGGCGTTGGTCAGTGGCTTGATCAGTTTTATTTCTCCATTCCTTGGGTCAACATAGAAATATTCTTGATCAATGGGGTCCAGGTTGTTTGTGTCAAACTCATACAGTATGGTATCCTGAGAGCAAAGAAAAAAGCAAAATGGTATGAATTGATTGTCGGGGGGGGGGGTTGAGGGAAGGGGTTGGAGAATGGGTGTAGAAGGATTTAAGCTAAGAGTTTTGGCTGAAAACCAAACTCCTCAAAACATGAAGCCCTGTCTGGTCATATATTTATTTAAACAGGGCATGCTGTGCATTAACCTTTTAAGATTTTTCTTCTTAATGTTCATATTTCAGGTTTAAGGAAGAAACCAACATTTTTCTTGCATGCTAATCTGCTCCAAAAGAGGCATGATGCATCAACCTTAAACAGAGGGATACCTAGCAACAATATTTTAAAAAATTACTGCCCGAATGAAGACATTTTCCAAAACAAAATTTTAGTTTTAGTTTAAGTAAGAGCTTTACAGCACTTGCAACACAATAAGGTCATATGAGTGCCGAAGACTAGAGGTGTTGCAAGAGAGAAACAAACACTGAAAAGGAGGAAGAGAGAAAAGGACGATAGCTGTACGATAGGAAAGAAGAAGCAAATCACACCAGAGCACCCGCCAACCACCCACAGACAAAATTTAAGAGCTCATCAATAAAAAAACGGTGGATAGGAAAGCAACTAGCCAATAGGTGGAAGAATGCACTGAAATTCAATAAATAAGATAAATGAGACAAAATAAGTAACTGACACAAAGGAAATAACATGCTTGTTTTTTATTGAGTAGGTGTTTTACAGCACTATCGACTCAGTTTTGGCAAAACATACAAATTCTTCTTCAACACTTACCCCATCAGCATCCAGTGCAAGAACTCTGGCCACAACTGTGTTGATTTCAGCATTTATGTCCAGCGGAAGATTTAGGCCTGAGTCCTGGCACCGCGGCGTGTTGGGGTTACGGTCCACGGTGAACGTTAGGACACTCTCCACAAAATTATCGGGGAAGGTGGAGTCATACAGGCGGAATTTGAGCTGAAAGACACAATAAATTGTAGACAGGATGGTCAAGAAAGGCATGGACGCTTGATTGATTGACTGAGTAGGTGTTTTACGGCACAATCAACTCAGAATGGAGGTGGTTCAGCTACAAGTCTACAAAGCAGGTTATCAAACTCTCCCTTTTTTTTCTTCATTATTTCTTGCCATTCACAAACTCACCAGAATTTTTACAAGTTATAGCTTTCGAAGCATAAATAAGTATCTATATAACTCTAAAAGTCTTGTTATGAATTCCAGCATGTTGTTGAATGATGCATTTGAAGAGATATGTGCATTAGAGTCACCTTTACTTTTCTCTTCAGTAATATTATAATTGAATTTATGTGTATACCTGCATATGTTTTGCGGTCCTATACAGCCAAGAAAAATTTCCATCTGGGACAATAAAGTATTATCTCATCTTATCTATCTTCTATGTGTCATGACATGGTGAAATATTATCTTAAAGCATATTCATTTGTCTTCCTTTTGGTGATAAAGAATATACATCTACTTCTAATAGAAGTCGAAATATTTGCGATTGAAGGAGGTTAAGGTCGCCTGGTTTCAGAGGTAAAATTAGCGAGAAAATGGTCGCCAAAGTATGGTAACTTTCATAGCCTGAGAGTCCTTGGAAATTAAAAATTTACATTTCTTGTGCCTTTAATCAATGTTTTTCAGTAAAATTCAAATGGAAATGTGTTTTTATATGGACGTATCAGAGGTTGAGCCAAAAAATAAAAATTTGATGAAAATGTCCAAACAGGCGGAAAAATGCCTGTTTCTCTGATTTCTGTATTTTGACGAGCACCTGATTTCACCACGCTGCCTCACATATACATCCTCTTAGCGGTGTAAATCAAGGTGAATTCCTACCGGATATTCCAGCTGGCGCAGTGCATCCTCCCGCAGGTCTCTGTCCAGGTTCACTTGTGCCACGGCGTTGTTGCCCACTCCCGACTGGGAAATGCTGAAGAAATTGGCGTAGCCTTCCACCAGCTCATACACCAGATTGCCCTGTTGAAGAAAAGACATTGATGACGCATGAAATAAAACGTTGCACTTGTCAAATAATGAAGGCGGAAACTCATTGTTTGTTAGAGTAAAGAGAAGCGCATCAACACAATAGCAGTCATTTAGTGCTGGGACAGACAGACAGACAGAAACAACAGGGCATCGACATTATCCACGTGTTTCTGCGGTTGCCAGGACAATCAACGTCAACCAAAAAAAAACATATGTGGATGAAATATTACACTGGGAAAAGGTAGGAGAAAATCTTTAATGACATAAGATTAAAGTATGCAATAAAGCAAAATATTACCATACGAGGATCTTCTTTCATACGGCATCCAACCCTTTGAGCACGGACCTCCAGAAGCTACCATGCCCCTCTGCCTGAGTGATATATTACTAACATTCATGTGATCACTTTCAGAATCACATTCCATATCCCACTCGTGGTAGTCCTCGTCGTTACTAGCATATGTGAAGTGTGCTGACAAAAATGAGTTACTTCTCACAATCCACAAAAGGAGATATTGGCCAAAAATCAACATTAGGCTCAAATTTATAGATTTCCTTTTGATGCCACATTCTTTAACGATAACCTGTCTTTCATTATTTCATACTTATAAATTGTAAAAACTTCACCTATAAGCGTGGTGCATCTATTTCCATAAGGCTTGAATCCAAGAAGTAACTCATTTGTCAGCACACTTCAGAAAGATCTTCAAAAACAATCAGTAACGTTCTTTGCAGTAAACATGGTTTCCAGTGCGTGTTTTGTTCCAGGCAAACGGGTTAGGGGATAGGGTATCGCTCACCATTGTACTGGCGGCTAGGCATACAGGCAGTTTTACGCGCCATCGGTTCACCAGTGGCTAGGCATAAGCGCAGTTTAACGAGCTACCGCTGGCTCAAAGGGTTAACTCACAAACAAGCTCTGTTTTGTTTTAGTTTTAGTAGAGGTTTTACGGCACTCGCAACGGCATAAGTTCATATAAGCGCAAGAAGATTAGAGGTGTTACAAGAGAGTAACAAACATAAAAAAGAAGAAAGGGAGATAAGAACGATAGATGTTTCATACGAAAGAAGAAGCAAACCACACCAGAGCACCCGCCAACAACCCACAACATGCCCTGTTCCACAAACAGCACAGACAAAGTCACCTGGATGTCGTCATCATTTCCCGCCACAGTGGCGATCCCGTTGCTGGGTGAATCCCGTATGCCCAAAGCCTGGGATCTTGGCATGTTGATGAATACAGGATCCCTGGAGTCACGGATTATGTTCACAACTGCAGTAGCCGTAGCAGTTCTATCGGGGATCCTCAGATCAGACACCCTAAGTAGAATCTGTAATGTAACATATTGTACATTTTTAACCCCAAAGAACATACAACATGGATTTAATTGAGATGAGCTTCAGATTCTGGAAAAAGGTAGTAGAAGATGCCAGCCGTTGGAAGAGTAGGATTTATATAACAGTCACAAAATGAAAGAGAAAGACAAGGCAGTTAAAGCATATATGCTTCATCTAACAACACAAGAGGACGAAATACACAAAATACAGTTTATCTTTTCCTTATACTAACAGCAACCATCATTTCCTGGCACACAGTCTAATTTAGCCTTTAGCATCACTACCCCGCACAAAAAAATGTAGACCAATACAGAACAAATTACTATCATCTGCTTTATCAACAACACATAAATCTTCAAAGACATAAATTTTTCCCTGAAGAGTCAATACATTTCAACTGTCAGTACTGATTCAGGACAAAGGCAGATGGAAAAGTGGATGAACTCAATCAACCAATGGCAAGGCCGAGAGGAATGTTCCAAGGCAGAGTTAGTTTTAGTAGAGGTTTTACAGCGCTCACAACTGCATAAGGTCATATGAGCGCCAGAAGATTCGAGGTGTTACAAGAGAGTAACAAACATAAAAAAGAAGAAGGGAAGATAAGGACGATAGATGTTTGATAGGAAAGAAGAAGCAAACCACACCAGAGCATCCGCCAAGCACCCACGATCACTCACCTCATCACGAATCTGAGAGGAAGGCACCAGGGAGTTGCGCAGGGTAATAACAGCTGTGTCCGGGTGTATGTCATAGTATCTCTGGGCTTGAGCATTGCCAACAATTGAATAGCGAAGCTTATCCTGAAAGAGATAGTACAATGTTAAAAGACAAAATGTGTGAGCCTTGAAATATCCTGGCATATCAAAACCTAAATACATGTAGGGCCTACTAGGAAATTTCTTTCTTCCTGGCAAGGAAAAACTTGTTTCGTAAAACGAAGAATAATTAGCCTAACGTAATATAGAAAATCATAACTGAAATCAGTCACCTTCTAATGTCTTTGTTTTAAGGCTGAAATGTGTGAAGGTATAAAAATGTACTTTTATGAGAGTCAACTTCCTTTTCTTCATATGCGCACATTTACAAGCCTATATCTGGAACTGGGTGTGACCCGTACCAACATCAGAGTAATAATAATAAATAGTAATAATAAATAGAATTTGCATAGCGCATTACCTTACTTGACAGCAAGCACTTTACACTACATTATTACCCCAGCAGACAACAAAACACTCATTAACATTCTCAGCTTCTCGAGAAGCTTACAGTTCAAGCAGCTAATTAAGCTCTCAAACACTAACAAACTGACAAGATCTTTCACTGTCTATAACTGGGTACGCCAGCATACACTTTCCTCTATCCATCTTTTGACCTACTCAAAACCAACTGAACCAATTTACTTTTTTCAACTTACACCATCAGCATCTGTGGCACCGATGTTGTTGAAGATCACAGATCCCACTTCCTTGTTGTAAAAGATGACAGTTTCATAGCGCCCAGGAGGAGTGGTCACGTTGAACAAAGGATTGTTCAAATTGCGAACCACCATTGTGGCCACTGTAGCCGTGGCCCGGACAGTAGGGTAGGCAGAGTCATAAGCAACCAGTTCCATCTTTCAAACAAAAGAAAAAAGGGTGACCGTCACATGAGGAGGGGAGACCACCAAAAAAAAAGTATATTTATAATCATCGAACAATCTGCTATAGTAGTAGTAGTACAGGGTTTTACGGCCCTCGCAACTGCGTAAGGTCATATGAGCGCGCAAAACACAAGTTGGTAGCATTCGCAACAGTTCACTGCACTGCTCTATAAAGGTGTAAAATAAAAGTAAATTTCCTTCTTTACATTTACACTCAGCAGGCCAGAGGAGTTCCCAGTTTTAGTAACCCCCCCACCATCCTTCTTCCTTTCACTGGATTTTTAAAAAAATCTTTTTCTGTAGTTTAAAGAGGAAGACATAGAAGAAAATCAGTAAGTTGACATGACACTAGTGATGGTAACCAGTGAATCACATAACTTGATACAGGAATGGATACTTTCCATCTTTACAAGGGGCAGAGTCACAGGAAAGCCATTATCCTTCTTTTTCCAAACCACTCTATTTTTCTGTTAAAACTGCACCTCAATATTGGTCATATTTTATGCATACTTTGTAAGTCATCTGTAGCACATTAAATTCTCTTCCATTAAATCCTCATCGTATGTTTCCTTACTTCGTAGACCTCGTTGAATTCGTCATATCTCAGGTAGTTCATGTCTGTAACAACGACATCTGCAGTCACAGAGGTTGATGAAGCAGGCCTCAAATTGCTCACTGTAAAAAGTCCACTGCCACTGCCAAGGCCACTATTTGGATTCATTTCAACTTGAAGAGCGCCCTTTAAAAAAAGAAAGGAAAACACTGCTATTTCAACAGAGAACATAATATCTTTTACTCATTCATTTAACGATTTTTGAAAAATAATCTACAGATACGATAACTTATTCCTTTACTTTTTCCTATGAGGAAAAAACTGTCATAATAGTTTTCACTTTTCGATAATGCATACATTTAATTTAAAAGTAATAAAATGATCGTTTTTAAAAAGAACATGACAGTATCTGCCATCTGTAAGGATCAAAAATTGGATTACAATCTGTAAGAAGCTTGTACATAATCAAATTTAATGTAATAATGTATTTAAGAAGATAAGAACAGAAGAGTATATGAAAACAAAACCAAGGAGCATTGAAAAGAGATGCATGGGGTGAGAAAAGAGGGCAGTAGTTGCTCCCCTTGCTGTTGAGTTGTAAAAGTCACAACAACTGGAAATGACAACCGCCACATTTTTGCCTAAAACAAAGCAGAACTGAAGGTACACTGAAAAAGAATAAAAGGAGCAGATCACATTAGAGAGCCAATCTACGGCTCACATTTTGTGATGGCATTTATTACAATAACAATAACATTGAACATTTGTAAAGGAGTAGTGGGAGAAGATGGACACCAGAAGAGTGCCTGCCCATTGTACATTGGCAGGATATGTGAAGCGTGCTGACAAAATGAGTTACTTCTCCGATTTGAGCCCTATGGAAAAAGAAACATCCCGTTTATAGGTGAAGTTTTCACAATTTATAAGTATGGAATAATAAAAGGCAGGTTATACTAAAAGAATATGGCATCAAAAGAAAATCTACACATTTGACCCTAGTGTCGAGTTTTGAGTATTTCCATTTGTGGATTGAGAGAAGCAACTCATTTAGTCAGCACGGCCCACACATGGAGGTAAGACTCAAAAGGCAAATCAACCACCACCATGTGGTGTAAACGCACCTTAAGAATAGAAGGACATGTCGCGTGACCACACCTTAATGATAGTTGTTATGACGTAGGCCTAAGGGACATATCACGTGACTGAGACCTAATGTGATCTCGTGCAAGCGGCGGGAAATCTGAAGGTCACTCTCTCACTGAAGCCGAAACGAGTAACATCGGCTAACGAAGAACTAGCAGACGACCAGCAGGTGGGGCCCCACCAACATCAACTATCATCTAGATCTAATACTCCAAGACTCAAGTAAGTCGTAACATAACACACCACCTACCCGGAGATCTCTATCGGAAGCTGTGACAGTCACAACCAAATCCCCGTTAGAGTAAGCTTCTGTAATGTTTCCAGTGTAGGTGAATCGAGTGAACACAGGCGCGACGTTGTCTCCCAAGATGTTGATAATGACAGTAGCAGGGATGGCGGCAAACTTCTCTGGACGGCTGTTATCACGAGCCTGAACTTGGAACTGTGGGAAAAGATTGGGAGGAGGTTGGAGGGGGGGGGGGGGGAATGTCCTTACTTCTAATCACTGAACTAAATTAAATTTGTCTCATAAGAGCTGTAAAAAAAAAAAAGACATGCACATCAAATAAAACATGTTGTAAAACAGGCAAACGTACAATGCTGCTCACAATGTGCCTTAAGTGGCAACCTTCTAAAATGTACTCCGTAGCAATATTGTACAAAATAAATAGTTCAACGGCCTTATCCCTGAAACCAGAATGTAAAACAGAAATATACATCTGCTCATAGGACTGAAGTTCTACCCGAATCATAGTAGGTAAATTATAAAACAAGTGTAGAATAGAGGAAATATGAGCCATGCCACAATTTTATAATATAAAAAAAAATGACCTTGACCATCAATGATTTATTTATAGAGGCACCAGCCATCCATGTCCAGGTGCTGTTTTAGCCTCAGTATATAAAAGACATAAAATATTTAAATGCATTGTTTAACAAGTGGGCTGAGAAATAATTTCATCAGAGTTGGTTTACTCACTATGTGTATTGTTTAACAAGTGGGCTGAGAAAATAATTTCATCAGAATTGGTTTACTCACTATGTGTATTGTTTAACAAGTGGGCTGAGAAAATAATTTCATCAGAATTGGTTTACTCACTATGTGTATTGTTTAACAAGTGGGCTGAGAAAATAATTTCATCAGAGATGGTTTACTCACTATGTGTATTGTTTAACAAGTGGGCTGAGAAAATAATTTCATCAGAGATGGTTTACTCACTATGTGTATTGTTTAACAAGTGGGCTGAGAAAATAATTTCATCAGAGATGGTTTACTCACTATGTGTATTGTTTAACAAGTGGGCTGAGAAAATAATTTCATCAGAGATGGTTTACTCACTGCGTATCTCCTGACAGTCGTTCCGACCAAGCTTTGAGTGAGAGAAAGATTGCCGGTTCTAGGATGGACGAAGAAAGGTGTGAAGTCACCAGAGCCCGGCACAAAGTTGAACTCGACAACATCACCCTGCAATACACAAAGTACATCATTTTAGTTTTAGTTTTAGTTTTAGTAGAGGTTTTACAGGGCTCACAACTGCGTTAGGTCATATGAGCGCCAGAAGATTAGAGAAGTTACAAGAGAATAACAAACATAAAAAAGGAGGGGAGATAAGGATGTTTGATAGGAAAGAAGAAGCAAACCACACCACAGCACCCGCCAACCACCCATGTACAGGAAGCAAACCACACCAGAGCACCCGCCAACCACCCACGTACATCATTTAATATTCCATCTGTTTGGTGGAAGAGTCATATCTTACCCACAATGGAACACTTAATCAGTTTTGAAATAGGGTTCCTCTATATTCCTTAGACTTCACTACTGACAGGACAGGTAATGCTGTTTTGTAAATTTACTTTAACAATATCAAGATTCCGCATCATTACAGATGTAAAAGTGAAATGTTTTAAAATAATTTACGACTGATAACTTTTTTCTAATGTCAACAAATGAGAAGCACTGGACACATCATAGGCATTTTTCTACAGCGTTATAGGGGATGTTTCAGAGGATGTAATTGCAACGTATGCTGTTACTTATTCTGAATAAGGGAATGCATATAATATATAATATCTTACGACTCTGCTTACATCTCTTTTGTTTTTACAAATCGTGACCTCAGTGATTTCTTAAATTGTCATATCTCCATTTTTTAAAACAGTGAAAATATGACTTCTTCTTAGGCTCACTCTTTGTTATGAGTTTTTTCACTGTTGTTAAAAATGGAGATACGACAAGAAAGCAATGAGGTCGCAAAATGTAGATGGAAACAACTCCATACTGACAGGGTTAGAGTACAAGTCAGAATATTAATGACAATGAAAAGAAATAAGATAAGATAAGATAAGATAAGATAGTACTTTATTATCCCAGAGGGAAATTTTCCTTGGCTGTACAGGACCATAAAAACACATACAGGTATACATTAAAAAAATTTTAATCATATATATTACTCTCATTAAAATTCAATATGAAAGGAGAAGTAAGGCTGACAAAATGTACATTTTCATCAAATGCATCATTCAACCACATGCAGGAATTTAAATACTAGACCTTTGGAGTTATATACAGATACATACTCTAAGAGCAACACACATCTATGCTCATTCTGACAAAAGCCTTATGCTAGATGGTAAAAAACTTCTTTTATATCTTTCTTTCTTTGTTTTTGGAGGTACATATCTGCCGCTGCGTGATCTTACAATTTGTGTGGAAAAGGGGTGTGATGGGTCGTTTATAAGGCTTTTTATAAAAGAGATATCATCAAAGCACTCATGAACAATTCAAGTAAAAACTGGTAAGTATTTCTTCTTGAAACAGCAACTAAATGTGTCATGATGCGGTGGAATCAGGCGCTCGTCAGGTTTTGGGCAAGTGGAGTTATTGATATCGCCTTAAAGCTTGTTCATTTGCTTTGCTTTTAATGAAACAATTACCCATTTATCTTGAGTACATGCTGAGATATTTGCGATTGAATGAGGTGGGCATTGCCTGGTTTCAGAGGTAAAATTAGAGATAAAATGGCTGCCAAAGTTGGTTATTTACAAAGCCTCAGAGTCCTTGGAAACTGACAATTTACATTATTTATGCATCTAATCAACGTTTTTCAATACAATCCACACTGAAATGGGTTCTGAAACTGAAATAGAAGGTGTTAAACGAAAAAACAAAATTTCGTAAAATAGCGCCAAACCAGCGGGAAAACGTTGACTTTCATTAAATTGACGAGTGCCTGATTTCACCAACGACGCCTCACAAGTAACTGTTAAAGAGCTTACCGCATCCCCATCCTGGGCAAAAACAGTGAGGAGGATAGTGCCAACGTCCGTGGTGTCTTGGACATCAATCTCATAGCGGTCGGGACCAAAGATTGGCCTGTTCAGGTTTCTGTTCACAGTGATGGTCACCACAGACTCTGCTGTCTGGGTAGTTACCGACGTGGTTCTTGTAGCACGGACAACCAACTGAAAGATAAGATAAGATCAGATAAGATAAGATGAGATCAGATGCGATGAGATGCGATGAGATGCGATGAGATGACATGAGATGAGACGAGACGAGACGAGACGAGACGAAAGAAGATGAGATGAGATGAGATGAGGTGAGGTGAGGTGAGGTGAGGTGAGGTGAGGTGAGGTGAGGTGAGGTGAGGTGAGGTGAGGTGAGATAAGATAAGATAAGATAATACTTTAATATCCCAGAGGGAAATTTTTCTTGGCTGTACAGGACTGTAAAAACACATGCAGGTTAACATAAAACTGTAAACCATATATTACTCTCGTTAGAATTCAATATGAAAAGAAAAGTAAAGCTGACAAAATGTACATATCACATCAGAAGCATATTTGAACAACATGCAGGAATTTATCACAGACCATTAGAGTTATACAGATATACTCAAATTACATTTTAAGTAATTTTTAACAGCAAAGAGCAATACGCATTAATGTTTATTTCAACAGCAGCCTTATTCCCTAAGGAAAGAAACTTCTTTTTATATCTTTTCAAGTTGTAGTAAGAGTTTTTCGGCACTTGCAACACAATAAGGTCACATAAGTGCTGAAGATTAGAGGTGATACAAGAGAGTAACAAACACAAAAAAAGAGGGGAGATAAAGACGATAGATGTTTGATAGGAAAGAAGAAGCAAACCGTTCTAAATGGTGTGCATCTGCCGTAGTGTGATCTTACTAGAAAAAAGAAATGGAAGGACCCAGCAAGTTTGCCACATGATCTCGGTTTTTTTTTTTTCTCCAGGTCAGATCCACCGTCAACATTATATCGCTTTTGCAGAGAGAAAGATACAGTGAGGAAAAGATACTGAGAAGAAAATATACAGAGAGGAAAATATACAATGAGGAAAAGATGCAGTGAGGAATACAGTGAGGAAAAGATACAGAGAGGAAAAGACACAGAGAGGAAAAGACACAGAGAGAAAAAGACACACAGAGGAATACAGTAAAGATTCAGTGGGGAAAAGATACAGTGAAGAAAAGATACAGAGAGGAAAATAGACAGTGAAGAAAGAATACAGTGAGGAAAAGCTACTGGGGAGAAAAGATGTGGAAAAGATAAGAGTGAGGAAAAGATACAGTGAGGAAAAGATATAGGGAGGAAAAGATACAGTGAGGAAAAGATACAGTGAGGAAAAGATACAGAGAGGAAAAGATACAGTGAGGAAAAGATACAGAGAGGAAAAGATACAGTGAGGAAAAGATACAGTGAGGAAAAGATACAGTGAGGAAAAGATACAGAGAGAAAAGATAAAGATTCAGTGGGGAAAAGATACAGTGAGGAAAAGATACAGTGAGGAAAAGATACAGTGAAGAAAAGATACAGAGAGGAAAATATACAGTGAAGAAAGAATACAGTGAGGAAAAGCTACAGGGAAGAAAAGATGAGGAAAAGATAGAGTGAGGAAAAGATACAGTGAGGAAAAGATATAGGGAGGAAAAGATACAGTGAGGAAAAGATACAGTGAGGAAAAGATACAGTGAGGAAAAGATACAGAGAGGAAAAGATACAGAGAGAAAAGAAAAAGATTCAGTGGGGAAAAGATACAGTGAGGAAAAGATACAGTGAGGAAAAGATACAGTGAAGAAAAGATACAGAGAGGAAAATATACAGTGAAGAAAGAATACAGTGAGGAAAAGCTACAGGGAAGAAAAGATGAGGAAAAGATAGAGTGAGGAAAAGATACAGTGAGGAAAAGATATAGGGAGGAAAAGATACAGTGAGGAAAAGATACAGTGAGGAAAAGATACAGAGAGGAAAAGATACAGAGAGAAAAGAAAAAGATTCAGTGGGGAAAAGATACAGTGAGGAAAAGATACAGTGAGGAAAAGATACAGTGAGGAAAAGATACAGTGAAGAAAAGATACAGAGAGGAAAATATACAGTGAAGAAAGAATACAGTGAGGAAAAGCTACAGGGAAGAAAAGATGAGGAAAAGATAGAGTGAGGAAAAGATACAATGAGGAAAAGATATAGGGAGGAAAAGATACAGTGAGGAAAAGATACAGTGAGGAAAAGATACAGAGAGAAAAGATAAAGATACAGTGAGGAAAAGATACAGTGAGGAAAAGATACAGTGAGGAAAAGATACAGTGAGGAAAAGATACAGTGAGGAAAAGATATAGGGAGGAAAAGATACAGTGAGGAAAAGATACAGTGAGGAAAAGATATAGGGAGGAAAAAATACAGAGAGAAAAGATAAAGATACAGTGAGGAAAAGATACAGTGAACACACAGAGAGGTACAAAAACTTACGGTGTAAGATAAGAGCTCTTCGTCTGCAATGCTTCTGACCAAGGTGATTTTTCCTGTGGCATCGACATCAAAGAAGTTGGACGAGGGGGGGTAGCCCAAAAGATTGTACACCACAGAGTTCTGTAAAACAGAGACAGGATTAAGCTGCTGAGACTTTTGTCTTCTCATCAGGACCACACAAACCCAGCAGAAGCAGGGAGGATGTGGGAAAAGGCTGTTTAATAATAATAATAATAATAATAATAATAATAATATTAATAATAAATGAAATTTATGCTGCGTATTTCCATTTTCTTTTTTAAAAAAGCTCAATGCGCATTACATTAATAAAAAATATCACACCATAAAAATTAATGGACAGGTGTGTACGTAAAACAGTATTATACATACATATATGTATATGTATAAACATTTCTGAGAGAACAATAGTCACGTGGTGGGCCTGGCAATGCGTCTAAATGTTACGTGCTTCTATCGTGTATCCGTCTATTTTGTATCAAGAGATCATCTGTCTTAAAAGATATCACCTCTCTGCACAATAAGCAGAGATAAGAACAACATGACAGAAAAATTTCCAAAATGTTATATTAAAAGCCTCAACACAAGAAATTGGGGATCTTAATACAGCTTTTTCAGCTTTTTTCAAAGGTGATCCTCCAAAAGTTTATATATGACAGAGAGAAACTTTTGTCCAATTTGGTTTTTTTTTAAATCATATTATGGGGGGGAGAAGGCAGGTTCAACCATTTCCAAATTTAAAAAAAAAAAATTTCTTTTCCAAATGATAAGATACATCTTTATCTTTATTGTACAGATCCTGGCACATTGGTTTGGTGTATCAGCATGTGTACACACACACGCACACGCACACGCACACGCACACGCACACGCACACACACACACACATGCAAGTTTACAATCACATGCATAATATAAATTGAGCAGCAATACAAACAAAAATGCTCTAAGGTCGTAAGTATACTAATACAAGATGGTTAAGATGGAAGCATTTTGATGGATGATGGTAAAAATGACCTTCTATATCTTTCTTTGTTACAGATCAGAAGCCTAGGTATTTTACTTCTGACTGATGTTATTATTTGAGAGAACAAGGGATGTTTGTTGTCTAAAAAGAAAGAATTAATTTTTTTAGTGCAAGCTGTTATGTACAATTCATCGTGGCATCGGAGGCCTAGTGGTTAGGCTCTCGGACTCGCAACCGTAAGGTCCAGGGTTCGAATCCCGTCAGGGGCCCGACGTTGTGTCCTTGGGAAAGGCACTTTGCACAAATTTTCCTCACTTCACCCAGGTGGAAATGGGTACCCGGCTATAGGCCTAGACAGTGAACGATCTTGTCAGTTTGATAGGGTTTGAGCTCGCGAAATCCGCAGCTTGCACTGTATGCTTCCGCGGAAGCCGAGAATGTTTCTGAGTGTTCTCAGAGGGACTGCCGGGGTAATAATAGTTGTAAAGCGCATAGAGCATGCTTTTAAGCATGGATATGCGCTAGGTAAATGCAATTATTATTATTATTATTAATGTAGATGTTGAAATTTTACATGCTTTCCATATTAGTCGATTTAATTTTTCTGTACCTTGTTGTCTAGTGTTCCCAGCCCATGCTGTTATACAAAAATAGATCATAAATGATCTGATACTTACGCTGGGGTTGGCTACCACTCTTCCGATATCATTCCCTGCAGAGAGATTCTCGTTGATAGTGTAGTTGTAGTTCTGCACCGAGAGAGGCGAGTCCACCTTGGTCACGGTGACCGTGATGGTGGCTGTGTCCGAGAGAGAAGGAGTGCCCAGGTCGTAGGCCCGCACCAGCAGCTGAAAAATACAGGTTTCGTTCACCTTTATGGTTTAAGCTAGAGAAAAGCTTGCTCATGGTTTTACATAAGACCTGTCAGTGACCACAGCAAAGACACGGTAAGAGGAAAAACTTCCAGTAGAATTCCTATTCTTTTGTTTGTTTGTTTTAGTAGAGGTTTTACGGCGCTCGCAACTGCATAAGGTCATATGAGCGCCAAAAGATTAGAGGTGTTACAAGAGAGTAACAAACATAAAAAAGAAGAAGGGGAGATAAGGACGATAGATGTTTGATAGGAAAGAAGGAGCAAACCACACCAGAGCACCCGCCAACCACCCACATTCCTATTCTAAATGAAAAGCACTGAAGTTTCAATCCAAAAAGGCTGTAATTTTGCTTCCCAGCACAGCTAAGAAGGAAAGGCAAATTTTAAGGAAAAAAGTTCACCACTTTTCCTACACAAGCTATGAAAGACACAAGTTTCTGAAGACGAAAAAGAAAAAAAAGAAAAAAATCCAGCTATCTGTGTGACATAAACATCGATGAAATATCTTATCCTCATGTACTCGGTGAAAGAGAAGGTCGTTTGCTGAGGTCACAGACACGATGGATTGAAAATGTTACTCAAGACAACACATTGATTGTTCATCTGTTTTACGATATCCGCATTCATGGGTTTGAAACTTCCTGTCATGAGTGTACACCAATAGCTTGGACCGAATTGGTCAACTATGTTGTCATGCATGTAACGTGACCCACTTGTAAATGAATAAACAACTTCCGTTACTACTCATTCTCACAGAGGTCTTGTGTTTGTTTGTGAGCACGTTTCACAATTATTCGGAAAGCTATAAGCATAGCCAGAACGTAACACTTACCTCACTTTGAACTCATAAAATACTTGGGATTCTTTATCAGACTTGGTAGACACCAATGGAAGTAAAACCATGTTACTTTGATTTCTACTACAAGTCAGTGCAGTCACCGTAGAATTCAATTTCAACGGTGAGTACATAATGCTAAATATTTGAGACCCAAGGGTTACATCAGAAAGTAGGGTTCAACTTTTACATGGACCTAGTTCCTTTGCTCTAAAAAGCACAATCACTTCCTAGAGATACTGAGGAGTTAAGATCATTCTGATTTGACTATACTAGTGTGTTGTCTAGCATTTTAGTTAGTTTTAGTTGAGTTTTACGGTACTCGAAACTGCAAAAGGTCATATGAGCGCCAGAAGATTAGAGGTGTTACAAGAGAGTAACAAACATAAAAAAGAAGAAGGGAAGATAAGGACGATAGATGTTTGATAGGAACGAAGAAGCAAACCACACCAGAGAACCTGCCAACCACCCACGTTGTCTAACATTGATTACATTTCACAAGTCAAGAGAATTTGTGTGAAAAAAAATAAATCACCAAACCCTCGACATCAGGTAGACTGAAGTGCATAACAGTTATAATGACACTGTTCACGATAATGTCCACCTGTCTTCACAGTTGGTGCTACGTTGGTCTTCACGGCCAGCCTAGATGAGTACTGACATACTTTTGACAGGAATAGATTCAGACAGAAACTCCAGCAAAGTACACCAGAGTGCCCACCAACTGTTGGTCAGGCAACTGTTGATCAGGCAACACTCACCGAAAAGTCAGGAGCATTCTGCAAGTTTTCATTCCTGGAGAGTCTAAGGAAACCTGTCTCCGACTCGAGGTAGAAGTAAGACTCGCCATTGAACTGATCACCGCTCACCAGCTCGTAGCGAACTGTCCCTTCAGGGCCCTGTAGGAAAGATAGAAGGGTACTTTTTCATCAAAAGCAAGGCAAAAGAACAGACTTTAAGATTATTTCAATAACTCTATATGCCCTAAAACGGATGAGTCCACACTACTGTGACTGTAACACAAATGGTTTTATAACTAATCGAAAGACTTTTGTATCACCCTGAAGGTACCATCTACAAACTTGAAGCGAAGATCTCACATTTACTTATGTGAAGGTCTCATTTATATAAACATTTAGTAAGTTTAACCTGCTGGAAGGGTTCATTCATCGACACATTTAAAAAAAAAAAAATTCCAGAAAAATCCAGTGAAAACAGTTTAAAGTGGGAAATGTATGTAAGAGAGATAAGATAGTTTTTCTCTCTTGGGAATAGGGACATTTACCCTATCACTTATATATTTTACAGATGTACAAAGTGCAAGGAAGCCGGAAGATATACATTTTTAGAAAGGATGAAAAGTTATGGAGATATTTTCAAAAATCCAAACAAGCAAAGGTGAAATAGCAAGAAATACGAGACAAAGTAACTCACCGTTAAATCATCATCAGTTGCCGAAAGCTGCAAGACTGCAATACCGGGGACAGCGTTGAAGGAGACACTTGTTCTGGCATCGTTGATGACAGGCGCAAAGAAGTTCCGCTTAACATTTACCACCACAAAGGCCTCAGCACTCAGAGGAGGGATACCACCATCCTTCACTTCCACCCGCACCTGAGGACATTCACAAAGTAAATCTATCATAAAAACAAAGGAAGGCAGAGTTTCGTTTTAGTAAGAGTTTTACGGCACTTGCAACATAAGAAGGTCAAATAAGTGCCGAAGATTAGAGGTGTTACAAGAAAGTAACAAACACAAAAAAGGAGGAGGAGATAGATGTTTGATAGGAAAGAAGGGGCAAACCACACCAAAGAACCCACAAACCTTTAGTAGAGGTTGTTCGGCGCTCGCAACTGCATATGTTCATATGAGCGCCAGAAGATTAGAGGTGTTACAAGAGAGTAAAAAACATTAAAAAGAAGAAGGGGAGATAAGGACGATAGACGTTTGATAGGAAAGAAGAAGCAAACCACACCAGAGCACCCGCCAACCGCCCACGAAGACAGAGTGTGAGAGAGAGAAAGAGAAGAAATGAGAGAAACACAGTGAGCGTTCACTACTGTTGTAATCACACTGTTGGTGCTATTTTCATTTGTTTCTGCCTGCATTTTAGAATAGTGAGATTCCGAAAGTGCGCTGTGTTAGAATAGTGAGATTCAGAAAGTGCGCTGTGTTAGAATAGTGAGATTCAGAAAGTGCGCTGTGTTAGAATAGAGAGATTCAGAAAGTGCGCTGTGTTAGAATAGTGAAATTCAGAAAGTGCGCTGTGTTAGAGTAGTGAGATTCAGAAAGTGCGCTGTGTTAGAATAGTGAGATTCAGAAAGTGCGCTGTGTTAGAATAGTGAGATTCAGAAAGTGCGCTGTGTTAGAATAAAGAGATTCAGAAAGTGCGCTGTGTTAGAATAGTGAGATTCAGAAAGTGCACTGTGTTAGAATAGTGAGATTCAGAAAGTGCGCTGTATTAGAATAGTGAGATTCAGAAAGTGCGCTGTGTTAGAATAGTGAGATTCAGAAAGTGCGCTGTGTTAGAATAGTGAGATTCAGAAAGTGCACTGTGTTAGAATAGTGAGATTCAGAAAGTGCGCTGTATTAGAATAGTGAGATTCAGAAAGTGCGCTGTGTTAGAATAGTGAGATTCAGAAAGTGCGCTGTGTTAGAATAGTGAGATTCAGAAAGTGCGCTGTGTTAGAATAGAGAGATTCAGAAAGTGCGCTGTGTTAGAATAGTGAGATTCAGAAAGTGCGCTGTGTTAGAATAGTGAGATTCAGAAAGTGCGCTGTGTTAGAATAGTGAGATTCAGAAAGTGCGCTGTATTAGAATAGTGAGATTCAAAAAGTGCGCTGTGTTAGAATAGTGAGATTCAGAAAGTGCGCTGTGTTAGAATAGTGAAATTCAGAAAGTGCGCTGTGTTAGAATAGAGAGATTCAGAAAGTGCGCTGTGTTAGAATAGTGAGATTCAGAAAGTGCGCTGTGTTAGAATAGAGAGATTCAGAAAGTGCGCTGTGTTAGAATAGTGAGATTCAGAAAGTGCGCTGTGTTAGAATAATGAGATTCAGAAAGTGCGCTGTGTTAGAATAGTGAGATTCAGAAAGTGCGCTGTGTTAGTGCGCTGTGTTAGAATAGTGAAATTCAGAAAGTGCGCTGTGTTAGAATAGAGAGATTCAGAAAGTGCGCTGTGTTAGAATAGAGAGATTCAGAAAGTGCGCTGTGTTAGAATAGAGAGATTCAGAAAGTGCGCTGTGTTAGAATAGAGAGATTCAGAAAGTGCGCTGTGTTAGAGTAGTGAGATTCAGAAAGTGCGCTGTGTTAGAATAGTGAAATTCAGAAAGTGCGCTGTGTTTCGGCTTTTTTTTAGGGGGGTTTAACATGAGACAACAAAGCACAAGTAAAGCACGCACAATACTTTGAGAGTGGAGCACATGGCCTAGTGACCACAGTCATAGAAAGGGTAATAAAGGAATAAGGGAGAAAAGACCACGGAACAAAGACACCACAGAAAATACCAAGCACGCAAATATATATACACAGACAAATAAAGGGAGTTATTTTAGAGGGTTGCAACTCCTACACGGGAGCAACGATACTATTGGTGGTTCTCCCTCCCTTACACCGAAAGAAACATTGCCAGCAAAGTTGAAAGATTACGTTGGAAATGTCACCTCACTTCAATCGTAAGAAACATTGCCAGCAAAGTTGAAAGATTTCATTGGAAATGTCACCTCACTTCAATCGTAAGAAACATTGCCGGCAAAGTTGAAAGATTTCGTTGGAAATGTCAAGAGAGGTATCACACATAAATAAAAAACTATTCTGAGTTTCTCAGCAAAGTAATACTTACAGAGTAGCTTAAAAACTATTCTGAGTTTCTCAGCAAAGTAATACTTACAGAGTAGCTTAAAAACTATTCTGAGTTTCTCAGCAATACTTACAGAGTAGCTTAAAAACTATTCTGAGTTTCTCAGCAATACTTACAGAGTAGCTTAAAAACTATTCTGAGTTTCTCAGCAATACTTACAGAGTAGCTTAAAAACTATTCTGAGTTTCTCAGCAATACTTACAGAGTAGCTTAAAAACTATTCTGAGTTTCTCAGCAATACTTACAGAGTAGCTTAAAAACTATTCTGAGTTTCTCAGCAATACTTACAGAGTAGCTTAAAAACTATTCTGAGTTTCTCAGCAATACTTACAGAGTAGCTTAAAAACTATTCTGAGTTTCTCAGCAATACTTACAGAGTAGCTTAAAAACTATTCTGAGTTTCTCAGCAATACTTACAGAGTAGCTTAAAAACTATTCTGAGTTTCTCAGCAATACTTACAGAGTAGCTTAAAAACTATTCTGAGTTTCTCAGCAATACTTACAGAGTAGCTTAAAAACTATTCTGAGTTTCTCAGCAATACTTACAGAGTAGCTTAAAAACTATTCTGAGTTTCTCAGCAATACTTACAGAGTAGCTTAAAAACTATTCTGAGTTTCTCAGCAATACTTACAGAGTAGCTTAAAAACTATTCTGAGTTTCTCAGTAATACTTACAGAGTAGCTTAAAAACTATTCTGAGTTTCTCAGCAATACTTACAGAGTAGCTTAAAAACTATTCTGAGTTTCTCAGCAATACTTACAGAGTAGCTTGTCTCTTGTGCAGTATCTAGGTTCGCGTTGTTGCGTAAGGTGATGCTGCCATCCTGAGCAATTTCGAAAAGTGAACTAGCACTGCCATCCCCTCGGATATGTAGGGTGGTTTGATTGAACGGGATCTGTGAAAATGTATGCACAAGAGGGGCTTCATAATACTTTTCATTCCTTTGTTTCCTGATGGATCAAATTAAATACATGCAGTCTCTTGGTGTCTTGAGTAATATAAATCATTCCAGTAATTTCCCAAACTGAGCCATTTGACACACTTATTCTTTTTTTAAACCTTCACATATAATATTCTATATACTACAACTTTATTCAATGGTGAACTTCTTCAAGAGTATTTTTGTGTCCTATTAACATTGAACACGAACGACACAAGTCTTTTCATAATTATTTCTTAATAGCTTATGGTTTCTCCTTCTTCAGAGTCCAATGTCCTTCCTGTCAACATGTGAGCCTTTGGTTGCTTTGGTTTAGCTAGATTAGTATTAGTGACATAAGTAGATAAATCGATCTACTCAAAATGTACACAAACTTTATAAAAGAAGACATGCTGACATCTGGACTGAATATAACGACATAAGCTGTCATAAGGCAGAACTCTAATATTCTTTATTAAAAAACCCACATAAGACTTACAGGTTCACCAAGATGTCTATACTTTTTGACATTTCAGGAACAGCAGCACCCATTCTTAAGAAACTATGAGAAAACTGCTGCCCATTACACCCATTCTCAAGAAACTATGAGAAAACTGCTTCCCATTACACCCATTCTCAAGAAACTATGAGAAAACTGCTTCCCATTACACCCATTCTCAAGAAACTATGAGAAAACTGCTGCCCATTACACCCATTCTTAAGAAACTATGAGAAAACTGCTGCCCATTACACCCATTCTCAAGAAACTATGAGAAAACTGCTTCCCCTTACATCTGTTAAGAAACTATGAGAAAACTGCTTCCCCTTACACCTATTAAGAAACTATGAGAAAACTGCTGCCCATTACACCTATTACAAAACTATGAGAGAACTGCTGCCCATTACACCTATTATAAGTGAGCTTAGCTGGCATACCACAGAGTCGGTGTCCCCTGCCGTGACTCTGTAGACGAAGCTGCCTCCAGACAAAGTCTCGTCGATGTTAGCCACATAGTTGCCAGTGTTCTGGAAAAACGGTGGCTGATTTCGCACCACGTCAACAATGACAGAGGTCGGTTGCTGGGCTGCGTTGGGAGGTACGCCCTGATCTGAGGCCGTTATCTGAACCTGAACAAGGCATGCACAAAACAAGTAAGTAGTAAGTTTATTCGGTGTTTAAGACTATTAGCCCACATCACATCATGTAAAACACTCATTTGTTAAATAAAGTTTCAATAATGAAAGAGTACAGATTGTGCACATATCTCTTATCATGGGTCAGACATTGCATATTTCTGTCACTGGGACGAGTCAGGCTGGGGGGAAGGAACAATTTCCTTTGATGGACAAAATATGGACAACAGGAAATAACTTGAAAAACAAAACAAAACAACAATGATGGATGATCTTTTAGGAAGCCGTATTGCATACGAGCAAACTCAGGTACACATCAAGAAGAGCTTCTGTACAATTAAGCTACAACCGAGACAATGTTATCACTGTTTACGGATCAGATACAGTCAGTTGAAATATGAAAAGAACTATTCATAAAAGTGAACACATGTGAAAAAAAATGAAATAATTTTGTTTAATAAATTGTGCTTTTGGTATTATTTTGTTTTGGCGTAGGATTTTTCCTTTTCCCAAGTTTTTTTTTTGTTTTTTTCAGGGG